GGCACTGCCTGAACAGCACTTTTCCTACAACAGTGGCTGCCCAACAGTCCTCGGTGGCTGCCCCAGGGCCTGGCATTTGACCCTGCGCTTGCTGCAGCAGCAGCCGCCCCGGTTCTGTGGTTACCGAGGGCTCGGGACCCACCTCGGAACCTCAGTTGCCAAGGGGCCACCTCACACTGGGGGTGGGGCTGAGGCCATCCCTGCCCGTATTTCAGGTGCAGGGTGCTGATGTCACAGTGGCCACTGTGACCCATGGGGCCAAGGGCTCGGGCCCAGTGTCAGTGTTTCCTGCCTCGGAACCAGTGGAGGAGCACCTTGGAAGAGATCTTGGTGTTCCGAGGACAGACGCCCTGCTGAGAGTCACCATGGCAGACAGAGACGAGCAGACCCCTGAGGAGAGGCAGGACGCCCCTGAAGAGAGAAAAGAGCAAGCCCCCGAAGAGAGGGAGCCAGGTGAGAGCAAAGTGCCCCTCCGGCAGCCTGGCAGAGCCGCTGTCAGGGCGGGCAGCACAGGTGCCATGCCTGGGGCCATTGTCTCTCTCCCCTCCAGCATGCCTGCTGTGTCAGCGATCAGAGGCTGACCCGGACATCTGCGGGCAAAAAAGTTTCGTACTTGGGCTCTGTGTCCACAAGTTCTGCCTGGTGAGTTGCTCTGCGGGCTCCCTCCACTTCTTGACAGGCAGTCCCTACCACTCTCTCCTCATCAGTGAGTGTGTTTTCCTGCAGTTTTTTGTCAGCAACTCTCCTGACTGCCCAGTTCAGCGACTAGAAGACTGGGATATTGACAAAAGGGAGATCCCAGATATAGTCTCCCAGGCGGCTCAGCAGGTGAGAGCCTGACAAGAGCAGGGAGATTTGGGCCAGGCGAGGTTTGCTGGAGCTCAGCCCAGACCCCAAGCAAGAAAGCCCAGCCCTTCCAACCAGCTCTGGGACAAGGAGGAGGCCCTGAGGCTGCTGCTGATGGGGCTGCTCTGCTCTTTCCAGAGCTGCTGCATCTGTGGCCAGAGCAGGGCCGCCATCCCCTGCTGGGTAAGACACTGTGACCTGAGCTTCCACCTGCCCTGTGCCAAGCAGGGAGGCTGTGTCACCGAGTTCATGCCACCGTACAGGTACCTCCTGCCCTGGCAGTGAGGGGGGCCAGGTTGTCCCTGTGCCTTCCCCTGCAGGCCCTGGCTGTCCCTGCTGGGCCCCTGTCCATCCCCATCAGGTCCCTGCCTGTCCCCTCCAGGCTGAGCTCCCCCCAGGAAGTGCCGTGGAGCTGAAGCTGCTGCCATCCCCCCCCTGCAGCCACTGGCACAGCCAAGGGAGCAGCAAAGGCAGGGCCAGGAGCAGAGGCAGCAGCAGGGGAGCCCTGGGGGGGCTGGGAAGCTCTTGTGTAGGGCAGGAAAGAGGCACTGGGCACGAGGCCGGGGCTGTGCTGAGCAGGCCCAGCCCTCACATCCCCCCAGCCAACGCCAGCTGCCCGGGGGGCGCGGGAGGGACCCCCAGCCCGTGTGCCCCACACTGAGCTGGCAGAGAGAGAGCCAAGGGACAGGGTCATGGACAGGGCCACGGGTGAGGGACAGCCAGGGCCATTGCAGGGCCATGGTGAGGGCACAACCTGTGGCAGCAGAGCTGCCCAGGGCCGGGGGCAGCTGGGGCTGTTGGTACCAGCCAGTGCTGGGGCCGAGCAGAGCATGAGGCCTCTTGCAGACCCCTGGAGCAGCCTCCCACTTGCCAGCCCCGCCCTGGCGGGGTGACACTGTCCTCTCCCTACAGGACACTCCCCCTGAAATCTTTGGGGGGACCTTTTGTGTCTATTCCTGGTTGCTGATTGATGCTGGGAATCTGAGGGCCCCTCTGCAATTCCCTCTGTGGGGCACGATCTCCTCTCCAGAGCCTGACTCACTGTAGGCTTTGCAGGGAAATCTGTGCTGGCAGCCCGAGTATGTCCTGACCCCCCATGCTCCCCCCAGAATATTTGGGATGAGTTCCCCCTTCCCAGGCATGCACAGGATGGGGGGGGTGGTTGTTTTCCTGCTGTTCCTGCTCAGCCCTTGGTGGCTCCTGGGGGTTGGCGGGAGTTGGTTTTTGAGGGTGTTGGGTTGGGTTGGTGGAAGAGCCCCGGCGGTGGGTGGGGGATGTGGGTCCCCCCCCGTGGTGGGGGTTGGTGTTGCTGGGTCAGGCCCCGCCGGCTCCATTGTCAGCCCGGTGCTGGCGGGGGGGACACAGCAGGTTTGAGGCCCTTCCAGGAGTGCTGGGGGTGGTTGTGGAGCCCCGGCGGTGGGTGTGGAGAAGGGGCACCTGCTACTGCACTTGGGAGTCTGGGGGGCACCTGCTGCCACACCTTCGGGGCCATGGTGGCCATGGCACGTGGGGCACACGACGTGCCCGAGGCCCCAAGTGTCACCGTGAGTGGCTTGGCCTAGACATGGGAGCACCCCACTGCCCCTTGTCGCCCTCAGAAAGCCCTTGGGTGCAGCCCACCCCCTTGGGGACCACCCTAGAGTGTCCCCAGGGCCAAAGACACTCCCAGCACCATCACTGGGGTCAGGGGCAGTGGGCACAGCACAGTCGGGCCTGGGGCTGTGTCACCCCCGGGGCTCACACCACATGGCTGTGCCACGGGGAAACTGAGGTGCGGAGCAGGACAAGGAGGGTGAGGTCATCGGGGGTGGGTGGAAGCCCCCCCTCCTGTTGCCAGCGCTGTGCCGAGAGCCTGGGCCCAGCGCTGCCATTTATCTCCCCTGGTTAGGGAAGGGCTGGCAGGCAAGCAGTGAGGAGGTGGCTCCTTAACGAGGGAAGACGGATGGCACCGGGCAGCTCCGGCTGCCACGGGGGGGGGGACACACCATGGCAAGAACCGGGCACCAAACCTGTTTTTTCCTGTTTCTCCTGCTTCTTCCCCCTCTCCTCTTCCTTGGCAGAGGCAGCGTCCCCTGGAGATTGTGGTGCTGTGACCGATGGAGATCTCCCGGGGACACTTGTGGTGGTGGGGAAGACACGGGGTGGCTTTGAACAGAGTGACAGTTCTGGTGGTGGCATGAGGCTGGGCGGGGTGAGAGCAAATCCTAGGGGATCCCCAGCTGGGCCATCAGTAGGTTCCGGAGTTAACAGCATCTGACCACACCATCGCTGCCCGTGGGCTCGGGTGCATCTGCATCCCCGAGGAGCAGCAGACCCCGGGACCCCTGTCCTGGAGGCAAAGGACAGGACTCCGTGGACACAGCCCTCCCGTTCCTGCTGCTCCCCGATCCCGGTGCCTGCCCTCCCAGCACAAGCCAATTAAGAGCCGATTCTGGTCAGCTGTAATTAGCAGCACCTTCTCCCAGTGCAGCGCTTCTGCATTTCAGCAGCCAGCTTGTCACTGTCAGCCAGCACCGCGATCTCCCCACGAGGCACTGGTGGAGATTTGATTACCCAAAGAATTCTGCAGCAGCAGCAGGTCCAGCCATGGAGCTGCTTGTCCAGGCGGTGACGGCTCCTCTGGCTCTGCCAGTACCTCCCAGCACATCCCGGCTCCCAGGAGAGCTCTGTGGGGGGAGGATCCCGTGGGTTGGGGTCCATGTGAGGGGGGGATCTAGGGGGGATTTGAGCTCAGCCCTTGCCACACGCTCGTGGTCCTTGTTCAGCTCGTGGGAAGCACTGAGGGATGTGTGAGATTCAGTGGGTTGGTTTGGGGTTGGGCTGGGAGATGGGATCCTGCATCCCAGGCACGGTCCTGTATCCTAATCCAGAGATGGGGCCCCGTGTCTGAGCCATGGTCCTGCATCCAAATCTGAAGCTGGAGTCCTGTGTCTGAGCTGGGGTCCTTCATCCAAACCTGGATCTGGGTTCCATGTTGGAGCTGTGATCCCACATCTGAATTGGGAGCTGGGGTCCTGTGTCCTAGATGTGGTCCCACATCTGACTCTGGGTCTGGGGCCCTGTGGGGTGAAGTCACAGCCCCACAAATGAAGTTTGAAGGATTTGGAGTGTTGCAGAGTGTTAGGCCATTTCCCATGAGAGCAGTGGAGCTATTAGATAGTTCCCATGGACACAGCCTTGAGCTGTGTGGCTGAGTGCAGGTGCCGCATTCCTGGATGTTGTTGTAAGAATATGTTTGTGTTGTGTATGGGAAAGTAGAGGTGGGAGAACTGAATAAAAAAGCTGCCTGCTGCGCTGAGCGGGCAGACATCTCTTTGTCTCACCATCCTCATGTGTGTCGTCTGTCCTTCTTCCCCCCTTCAAGCCGAGGCCCTTCGACGGATACCCAATGACAGGGCCCTGTCTCTGAGCTGGGGTCCTGCATCCAAATCCTGAGTTAGGGTCCTGTCTGTGTGCCATGGTCCCATGTCTGAGCCTGGGGGAATGGTCCCATGTCTGGTCCTGCATCCCAACCCAGACTAGGGTCCCATGTCGGAGCTGTGGTCCCACATCAGAACACAGAGCTGTGGTCCTGCATCCAATTCCAAGTGCCACAGCACCATGTCTGTGCCACGGTCCCCCACCCAAACTCAGAGCCATGGTCCCTTATCTGTGCCTGCTGGGTCAGGGAGAGGCTCTGGGGGATGCCTGGAGCAGCCTCACCCATGCGGGACCTGTTCACCCATGGGTGGGGATCCAGGGGCGTGCAACCCTCCGACTGCGGGTGAGCTGGGACCAGGGGTGTCCCGTGGGCCCCGCGGGCTGGGGCGTGCCCTGAGCCGGTCCCACGGTGTCCCCTGGGCAGGTCCTGGCCAGCGCCATCGCGCAGGACACCGACCAGAACTACAACTACGCGAGTAACAGCGTCATCCTGCACCTTGATGCAGGGGATGAGGTGTTCATCAGGCTGGACGGGGGCAAAGCCCATGGCAGCAACAACAACAAGTACAGCACCTTCTCCGGCTTCATCATCCTCTCAGACTGAGCCTGGACCCACGGCATCGCCCCCAGCACCTTTCTGACCCCCCAGCCCCACGGCATTGCCCCCAGCACCCCCCGAACCCCCAGCACCACAGCATCCCTGTGCCGCGGTTCAGCCCCATGGCACCCTCTGAATCCCCATCCCCACAGCGTCCCTGGGCCATGGTTCAGTTCCCTGCTGCCCCACAGCTCCCATGGCCTTCCCTCACTCCTGCCCAGCCCCACAGCATCCCCCTGCCATGGTCCAGCCTATGGATCCCCCCCAGCCTGGTGCTCTCAGCTTCCCACGGTGCCCCAAACCCCCCTTTTCCCATTAAGTCACTCCGTGGCTGCCAGTTGAGGGCTTGGGGCTACAGAGGGTTTGGGCGGGTGGCAGAAAGGCTGGGGGATCTCCCACGCTGCCCTACTGCAACCCCCCCCGGCTGAGCCTCCTCTTGTCCCCCGGTGCCCCATCCCTGCTGTTCCCTCCCTCCCTGGGGCGGTGCCGGGGGTCTGGCAGAGTGGTCCTGATGTACAGATGTGCAGTGCCCACCCAGCCCTGGGCTGGGGGGCTGCGCTGGGGGACAGGGGGAGCTGCCGGCCTGCCCCCCCCCGGGGCGACAACATGGTAAAGCAGAGCTGTGACCTCTCCCCATCTGCTGTCTGTGTCCCCGGTGTCCCCCACAACGGGGACGAGGTCCTTCTGCTACCCTCCCCCCCGACCCCGCTTGGCTCATCCAAGCCCAGACAGGAGGGGCTCCCTGGCTCCAAGTGCTTGTGGCCCCTCTGCCACCTCCACTGGGGACACTGGGGGTGCCACCACTGCCATGTCCCTGTCCCCAGAGGCTGGGTGGCCTCATGAAAGGGACACAGCATTGCCACTGTGAGGGGGGGACACGGTCAGGCCACACAGAGGCACCGGGACCCTCAGGCACACATGCCCGTCCCCACTGCCTTGGCATGGGCAGGATGTGACCCAATTAGAGGTGACAGCAGGTGCTCAGGGCCAGCGGCTGCGTCCAGAGTGGCCCTGGTGGGGTCAGAGGATGGGAGCCCTGGGGACATGGGGGTGGGGGCGAGTATCCCCCCGATGTGTGGGGGTGTTCCCCAGGGGTGGGTGAGTGGGGGTGTGTGTCCCCAGGTGCGTGTGTCCGTGTCCCCCAGGTGTGTGTGTGTGTGTCCCAGCCTGTGTGTGTGTCCCCCAAACCCTGGCAGGTCCAGGCGCTGTTCCCCGGCACTGATCCCAGCTGCAGGCATAGAGGTGGTGGCGGGGCCGGGCTGTCGGCCGCAGCCCCGAGCAGAAGGGCCACAGCCACAGCCCTGGGGTCCCGGGACCCTCCAGGACCCTCCCGGACCCCCGGGGCTCTGGCCCACCGCTGTGCCGGGAGCCGCCGGCAGGGGGCGCAAAGGGCGGTGAGACTACAGCTCCCATGATGCCTCACATAGCCACAGGACTGCAGCTCCCATGAGGCACAGCGCGGTGTGGGCGGGGCGCGGCCAATGGGGAGTCGTGAGGCAAAGCGGGGCCAATCAGGACGCGGGGCGTGGCTTCGCGGCCCATTTAAAAATGACGGGAACAGGGGAGTCGCAGTATCTGAGAGAGCGGGGGCCGAAGAGGGGTGCGGTAGGGGAGAGTCAGAGCCTGTAAGTGCCTAAAATATGTGTATGAGGGGCCGTGAGGGCACGGAGAGGGGGCAGGGCTCGGTGAGAGGGGCTTTGAAGGCGTAAAGGAGTTGCAGAGCCCTCCAAGAGGGCCTTTGGGGGCCCACGGGTGGGGTGCAGGGCCACAGGGGAGGCTGTGGGTTAAGGGGCTGCCCGGGAGATGCACAAGGCAGTCCTGGGTTATTGAAGTGCCTTGCAGGAATTATCACACATTGAGCACTGTCTCCAGCACGTGACATAGCCCAGGACTGGAAATTCAGGAAACTTCTGTCTCCCATCAGGGAGCTGCTCCGACAGTCCCACTCCCACCCCCCAGGCTGACACTGCTGGGACTGAAGCCCCTTTGCCATGGTGGCTCCAGTGACCCGAGGGGGCCCTGTTTGGCTCCACCCACCCCACTCTCACAGTCAGACCAGGTTCCTCATCAGCTCGGCCCCAGGTTTCCTTTAAGGAACTAGAGGGTAGAGCCCACCCTCAGCACGCTGGCAGGTGACACGACAGAAGGATAGGGACATCCAGGGTGACCTGGAAAAGCTTGAGAAGTGGGACCACAAGAACTTGATGGCCAAGTGGAGGGGGCTGCACTTGGGTTGGGGCAATCCCAGGCATCAGCACAGACTGGGAGAAGGGCTGAGAGCCCTTCTGCAGAGAAGGACTTTGGGGGTTTTGGTGGAGGAAATGCTGGACATGAGCCAACAGTGAGCGCTGGCAGCACTGAAGGCCAAATGCATCCTTGGGGTGCATCAAAAGAGGGGTGGCCAGGGGGGTGAGGGAGGGGATGGTCATCCTCTACTCTGGGGGGTTGGGATGAAATCATCTTTAGGGTCCCATCCAACCCAAGCCATTCTGTGACCCTGTGATTCCATAAGATGGCAGCAGTTCCATTGTTCCCATCACAGCCACATCATGTCCAGGGACACAGGTGACAGTTCTCCAGAGCTGCTGAAGGCAGGAAGGTTCCAGAGTGGGTGTCACAGAGGCCAGGCTGTCCCAGGGCAGGGGGGTCGCTCCCAGCACATCCCTGGCTGGGCTGGGTGAGTTCTGCTGGGGCAGAGCCGGCCCGGAGCCACCATCCTCCTCTGCCTGGTCGGTGTCCTCCAGGCCTTTGCCATCGAGAAGAAAGGGGATGTGTTCAAGAAGATGGCATGTCCCGCCTTCCTGACATTTGAGAATGTTGCCTACTTGGCAGACATGACCTTCAAGCTGCCCTGCAAGTGCAAGCCCGAGGAGGTCTCTTCTGTCATCTGGTGCTTCCAGAAGAACCTGCACAGCTGCAAGACCACGGTGCTGACGGACTTCAACGGCACCATGGTGCTGGACTCCAGCCACGTCCTCACAGGCAGCAACCTGCTGAAGCACTTCAGCATCCACATGTTCAGACTCATCATGTTCTGGGCCCAGGTGAGGGATTCTGGGCACTACCTGTGCAGCTCCAAGGAAGGGCACTTCCCGTGCCTCCTGTGCCTCCGTAGCCCCGAGGTGGCCGTCTGGAGCTGCTTGGCACTGTGCCCGCCCAAGGAGGTGCCCGAGGAGGGAGTCCAGTCCATCTCCAACATCATCTACAAGTTTGGGGAGAAGCCCATGTCCCCATCCCAAACTGACCTGGTGATCACGTGCCCGGGGGCCCACCCGGAGCACACCGTAGGCTGGGACAAGGACTCGGTCCGGCTCTACTGCTCCCAGTACCTCGTGGGTGTTGGGAAGGGCATGAGGGTCTTCATCGACCACGGGAACCACCTGCACATCCTGCGGGTGCGCAGGAGCAACAGGGGCACCTACTTCTGCTGGAGGGACGGCGAGATGATGGCGGGATTCTGGCTCAGCGTCACCTTCCCGACTCAGCACCGGTGCGGCCCTGAGTCCATCTTCATCATGAGGGCCATGGGCATCAGCTTCGCCGTCATCACCGGCATCTTCTTCCTCACCCACCTGGGCCGCTGCTGCTGGTGGGTGCTCAGGAAACCGGCTGGGTTGTAGCGTCTCCCCTCCAGGGCACTTGGATTCCTCGGATCATCCTCCTGTTGGAAATCTCCGATGTTTAGTTTTTTCTTTGCTTTCAACTTTTCAAAGGAAAACTATTTTTCAAATTAACCTGGTGAATAAACATCTCTGGTTCTGGGGCTGTTTTGAACTCGCCCAATTCAGCACAGAGTTGGGAGTCGATGTTTGAGGCAAAGCTTAAAGGCCACAGGGCAGCACGGACCCCTCTCCTAGGCTGGGGCAGGGCAGCTCCTCAGCCTGCTGCAGGCTCCATGCCCCACCCCGGGAGCCTGGGATGGCTACAGGGACACAATCTGCACTCATGAGGATGAGCCAAACACTCAGTGATGACACCAGGAGCAAAGCCAGGGAAGGGATGTGGCAGGAAGGGACAGAGCTACAGGAAGCAATCAGCACCTCCCACACTTGGTGAGAGGAGTGGGGTACGGCTGTTTGGGTCCCTGAAGGGCAACACACCTACCCAGAGCGCCGGCATGACCCCAAAAGGGCCCACACATGGAAGCAGCCTGTATTAGGGAGGGTTCGAAATATATCAAATCTTGAAACCATGACACCGTTAAAAGCTTAACAAAAACCAATATTTATTACCAAGAGGTGGCCAATAAAACGAACAAACCCAAAAGGGAGGAAGGAGGAGAAAAATATGCCCCCAGCACAACCTCCCCAGTTACCCAGCTGTTGCCCATAAAGTTATCTTACCGACCTAGCATGCCTATAATTACCCAGAGCAGAAGCTGCATCCTTGGAGAGTCAGTAAGTTCACAAACTGGCAGGCGTCCCTGCCAAAGGCAATGTTGTCCTTGAGGTAAAGCTAGCTCCCTCCAAGAAAGCACTGTCTGCTTTTATACAATTAACTGACTGACCACAACCTCCCAGGAGTGGCCAGCACTGCCCAGCCAGAGGCCCTCAGTCCCACCTCCTGGTTATGTCAGTGCATCTCTTCTGCGCACGCGTGAGAACTTCGCAAATCCCCTAAAGCGCACAGTCTGCTTTAGGGGTCTTTCTTAATTGAGTCTGGGGGCGCTACTTCATCCTCCTCCTCCTCAATCTCTCCTTCAAGTGACCTTGGAGGACGATTAGCCAATCACAGAACACCAATTAAAACAGTTTATACAAGAAGCTCTCTTCAAGGACAACTTTCCCGTTTATCAGTTCTCGTTTTCCCATAACTTGGCAGGGAAGGAGCAGAACTTTCACAGGTGGCGGGGGCAAACACAGACCAAACATATCAGCATAATTAACCCCTGATACACAGCCCTAGCCCTGACTCTCCCTGAAGACTTTGCCCCCAAACTCAGCCCCCAGACACGACCTTGCAGAACCCCCAGGGAGGCACCAGCCAAGCCCTGGGTGCTGAGCCCAGGGCTGGTGCAGGCCAGGAGGGACACAGCCACCAACCTGGCAGCACTGCTCCCTGCCTTCCCCTCTTAATCCCTAAAAATCTCCCAGTAGAACCAAACGTGCCTCCCCCATCACACTATAAGACCCCCAGCCCTCCCAGGAACCAACCCTGCATGGACTGGAGGTGTCACACAGGTGCTGGAAGCTGGGAACTGCTCTTGTATCCACACCAGCACGTGGTTTGTTTGTTGGGAGGCAGAGCCAGCAGTGGGAAGGGCAGGTTTCCAGCACAGCTCAGGGATTTGTGGCAAGCAGGAATCCAACACCCCCAGTGAGCAGCTGGGAGCTTCTGGAAAAGCATCCAGACACCTGGACTGCTCCCTGCAAACAGCACCAGGTTCAGGCTGGAGTGACATCCAGAGCCTCTGTCTGCCCAGTGAGAGCCCTGCTGGGATTGAAATCCACCAGCAGGTTTGCACCAGGAATGGGGAAGCACATGGAGAGAGCCCCTGGGGAGCACAATTCCCAGCTCAGTGCTGAGGGGGCAGCCCTGGCACTGGGGCCAAGGCATCCAGCAAATCCATGTGGCATCCTGGGGTCACATCAGCTGCCAGTCTGGAGCTGTGCAGGGGCACCTTGGCATGTCACCTCCCCCGTGTCCCCAGGACACGCAGCCACTCTCAGCACTGGTGCAGGCACAGCACAAGTTCAGGCTGTGTGGTTTTGGGGCGTTGTTGTGTTCCCCCATCCCCCACAGCTGCTTGGGGGCTTTCAAAGTAGATCCAAGGCTCCATTGAGCCCACCCAGCCCAGGAACAGATGGGGCAGGAGCTCCTGCAAGGATCAGAGGTGAGTGCCAGAGCAGCTGTAGCCAGCAAGGAGGGTGTCCAGTGGTGGGAGCTGGGGTGGGGGCGTGGAGCTGCTGGAGGACATGGCTTCAGATCCCATTTTCTATGTCCTCATGCACTCGGGGGGGGGTGGTTCAGCTGGGGGGTGCAGGGGTGGGGAGGGAGCCCCAGGCAGGGCAAGGCCTGCTCTGATTCCCTCACTGTGCCAACTCTGGCCAGTGACCCCTTAGAACCCTGGGAACCCTCTTTGGGCACCCACAGCTGCCCCTAGGACAGCGCTGTCCCCTTTGTGTCCTCTTAGCCCCTCTCACGACCTGACACCCCCTTAAGCCACAGCCTCCCCTATTGCCTTGTACCCCCTTTTGGCCCCTAAAGCCCCTCTCACAGCCCTACAACCTCTTTGGGCCTCCACAACTCCCTCCCACAGCCCTGCTCCCCTCTTTGGGCTCCCACAGCAGCTCCCGTGGGAGGAGTTGGGGTTCAGGAGCAGCTCCCAGCTAAGCTGGCCTGGAAAAGGTGACCACGGGTGGGAGGAGCAGCACTGGGATGTGGAACAGCTCCGGGTGTGCCGCTGTCCCACGGGAACCGGGGTCACCGACTCCTCCTGCCCCTTCCCTGCCTGGCAGCGGCTCATCTCACCTTTGTCTTCTTCAGCCTGGAAGGTTCTCATTAACACACTATCAGCCCACTCGCAGTTCGTTTGTCTCATTAGGGGGGGGGGGCCGGGAGGAGGAGGAGGAGGGGGGAGAGCCCAGCTCTGCCTCCCGCGGCTGCCGACACTGACAGCTTCCCGTGCTTTGATCCCGCTTTGTGGGAGCTGGGAGAGGATCAATCCCTGGGGAGCAGCAGGTGCTCACACAGGACCCCAAAGCCCCCGCTCTGTCCCCCCCACCCCGCGAGGAATGGAGGTCCTCTGTCACCAGGGCTGTCACACAGCACGTGTCCCCAGGGATGCCACTGTTCTGGCTGGGGACACTGAGTGCCACTATGGGGTGCGTAGGTGCCCCCAAACTGGCGTTTCGGAGGGCAAACCCCCACCTGTCGCTGGTGACGCCGGCCCAGGACAACTGCGGGGACACGGGGCTGGCTGGGGACAAGGAACTTCTGGTCATTAAAAGCGGATGTGGCAGCTACCCCAGTCCCACCAGTCTTGTCTCCAGTGGCTCGGGGTCCTCCCAAATTGCACCCACAGGGACCACGGGCCACTCTCAGTGGCCCGGCGATGATGGCTCCGGTCCGGCCACGTGTCCCCGTCCCGCAGAGGGCAGGACCTTTCCCCGGCCATCGGCTGCCACCTGCTGCCAGCAGCAAGGCTGGTCCCCATCCCTGTCCCTGTCTCCATCCCTGCAGCAGCATCCCAGGGACCCCCTGCCCATCAGCTTCACCCCAGCTGCCTCTCGGGGCACCCACCCCACTGCCACCATGTCTCACTGGTGGCCCCAAAACACCCCCATCCCCTGCACGGGCTGTCCCCGAGGCCCATCCATGTCCCAGTTTGTGGTCAGGACGCCGTGGCTGGGAGGGGACAGGGCTGGCGGTGGTTCCGTCCTGGATCCATCCCGCCGTGTTTCCCGGCAGTGCTGTGCCCTGGCACAAAGGCCCCCTCCAGGCCATGCCAGGCAGACACGGCTCTGGCCCCTCACAAAGCCCCTTTCAGCTGCCCGGGAAAGCCCCTGGCACCCGGCCCTGGCTCTCACCACCCCCTGCCATGGGCCAACGGGGCAAAAGGGGCAAAAGATCCCCCAAACTCAGTGCATGTGTGGATGGTGACATGGTCGTGCACACAGCTATGGTGGGATAAGTCCCCTCTGGATCTGGCATGGGGATGGGCGTCTTGAGTCCTGCCCAGGCTCCAGGGGCACCAGGCAGTGATTCCACAGATCCAGTGGGATGGGAAAGACTTTAAAGGCTTCAGCCACTTAATTAACACCTGACCTTAATAGCCTGGAGTGATGGGCTATGGGGGCTGGTGCTGAGCTGCTCGTGCCAGGGCTCATCCTAGAGGATGTGACATGGGGAGGATATGTACATGTGTGTGCCCACGTGTTTGTGTGTGTGCCCACGTGTACACGTGTGTGCCCATGTGTGTGTGTGCCTGCATGTGCACAGTGAGATTGTCAGTGTAGAGTCGTGACGGCCGATAAAGATACAAGGAGTCAGTTATGTGCAAGAAAGATGTCTTCTTCCTCCTCTTTATTTTCTCATCTGCTTTTTTATACCCCTTGCTAGCAGTAAGCAGTATCCTTATTTTAGGTAAGCAAGCAACAGCGTTTTCATTGGCTAGGATCTATGGGCGATACATTTGGCAAAGCTCAAGGCCTTATTGCAGTTCCCACATCCTGGGCCTACCAACTTTACAGCCTGCCTTTTTTTTCTCCATTAGGGCTGCGTACTGACTTCCTTATCATCAAGGATACACTCGGAACTTTTCCCAGTCAATATCTCCATCCTGGGAGCTATTAGACCTGCTGTTAACCCCATCAGAGATGGCTCTGTGTGTGTGTGTGCTGTGCGTACATGTAAGTGTAACTGGGCATGTGCCACTCTGGGCATGTGTGTGCACATGCACACGTGTGTTGGCTTGGCTGTGCCCGTGTGTGCACAGCAGGGTGGCTGTGCCTGTGCATGCTATGTGTGTGTGGAAGGGGAACTGGGTGTGTCCCATGTGTGTGCACACATGTTCAGGGAAAGCAGCACATGTGTGTATCCGTGCACACTGTGTGTGTCCCCCTTGTGTATGCATGGAGTGTGTGTCTGTGGACATGGACAGATACGTGTGTGTGTCTCTGGAGGTGTCTCTGTGCACATGTGTGCCTGTAGGTGTGCACACGTGTACGAGTGGAGGTGTAGGTGACCCCACACGTGTATACACAGATCTCACATGTACATGTGTGTGGATCTCCCACGGTGCAGCACCCAGCCTTGCACCCACCCCCTCCCACCGGCTGCCCTGGGAGTGAACTTGGCCACTGCTCCATCTCTGCCCTGCCATGTGCCCCAGGCCCCCCCAGGGGGGCCGGGGGTGGGCAGGGGGCTGTGTCACGGTGCCCAGACTGGGTGCCAGAGCACAGACACCCCTGCCAGGCTTTGTGCTGGCCCAGTGGCTCCCTGGTCGGTGACCAGTGCCAGGGCATCCAGCTATATGGGGGCTCCAGGCTCCATAAAAACCCTCAGGAGGGCACATCACACCCGCCCCAGGCATGGAGAGCCAGCGCCCATCCTCCGACAGCCACCGCTTCGGCCCCGCTACCCCCATGCACTGGGTGCCCCTCACCAGCCCCCTAGCCCAGAGCCACCAGGGACTCTGCGGCACCCACCCAACCACCCAACTGGGCTCGGGCAGGATGGACTTCTTGCTGGCCATGGCACTCAACTTGGAGTTCCGGGAGATGCGCACCAGCGAGAGGGTGGAGATGATGGAGCTAAATGACTGCTTCGCCAGCTACATCGAGAAGGTGTGGCTGCTGGAGCAGCAGAACAAGGTGCTGGTGCTGAAGCTGAACCAGGCGCAGGACCAGGAGCTGTCCCGCCTGGGGGACATTTACCAGGAGCAGCTGCGGGAGCTGCGGCGCCACGTGGAGCAGTTGGACACTGCCAAGGCCCGGCTGGAGATCGAGAGGTTCAACCTGGCCCAGGACCTCAGCAGCCTCCAGCAGAAGTAAGGCACTGTCCAGCTGGGGCTAGTTCTGGGGACCAGGGTGGCCACCAGGAGCAGGATGGAAAGTGGTCACTGGGATGGGTGTCAGGGTGATTACCAGGAGCAGGGTGGCCACTGGAACAGGGACCAGGGTGTATCCAAAGTGGCAGCAGGGACCAGGATGGCCACCAGGGTGATGATCAGGGTTGTCCTGGGGACCACGGTGGTGATGGGGATGGTGATGTGGCCGGGAAAATGGTGATGTCATGGGGACCATGGTGGTGGCAAGGCCCAGGGTGACCCCTGGGACCAGGATGGAGACTGAGGGGTACCCAGGGATCAGGGTGGCCATGGAGACAGGAGCAGGGTAGCCCTGGGGACCAGGCACTGATGTGCACCAGGCTGGTGGTGGGGACCACAGTGACCCCTGGGGACAGTGTGGGATGGTGGAGGGGGTGGAGGATGGGTGCAGGCACTGGCACGGGGTTTGAGTGGGTACTGGGGCTGTGGGGCTGTGTTGGCACAGGGAGGTGTGTCCGTGGGCAGAGAGGGACAGGTCACAGTGCCAGAGGGGTAACGGTGCGGGAGGGGTCATGGTGCTGGAGGGGTCGTGGTGCCAGAAGCGTAATGGTGCCCCTGCTCTGGCACAGGCTGCAAGATGAGGTGACCCCGTGGCTGGAGGCTGAGAGCAACCTGGCTGCCTACAGGCAGGTGAGGGCAGGGGCCACATCCTGCACTGCAGGGGTTCAGCTCCCATCTTGTCCTCTCCTTGGGATGGGTAGGGATGGGGAGGGAGTGGACAGGAGCAGGCAGTGAGGGACTGGGATGTGTTATGATGGGCAAAAAGAGGCAGGAACAGGGCAGGGATGGAACAGGAATAGGGCAGAAATGGAACAGAGATGGGGCAGAAACGGAGCAGGGATGGGCAGGAGCAAGTAGTGAGGGACCAGGATATGTTACGATGGGCAGAGACAGGCAGGGCTGGGCAGCAGAGGGCAGGAATGGACATGGCCAGACAGTTCAGGAGGGAGCAGACCCGGGGACTAGCCTGGGACTGTTCATCATTGTCTCCCCACGGTGACAGGATGTGGACAATGCCACTTTGGCTCATCTGGACCTGGAGCGGCACGTGGGGACCCTGCAGGATGAGATCGCCTTCCTGCACAAGGTCCACGAGGAGGTAACCCTGCCATGGGGGGCTGGGGCATCCTGGGGCTCAGGGGGGCTGTGCTGGCCCCCCTGTCCCCCCCCAGGAGCTGCAAGGGCTGCAGGAGCAGCTGTCCCGGCAGTGGGTGCATGTGGAGGTGAATGCCAGCAAACCAGACCTGACGGCCGCCCTGCGTGACATCCGCAGCCAGTACGAGGCCGTGACCGCCAGCAACACCCAGGAGACAGAGCAGTGGTACAAATGCAAGGTGCAGAGCGAGCTCGTGGCCCCATGGAGGAGTGGCCTGGCTGTCCCCACCTGCAATGTCATCTCCAGTGATCAGCCTAAGGAGAGAAAGCCCAAGTTAAGAACGAAATCAGCAGCCCAGCTGAAGTGCATGTACACCAATGCACACAGCATGGGCAACAAACAAGAGGAACTGGAAGCCATCATGCAGCAGGAAAGCTATGATGTAGTTGCCATCACAGAAACATGGTGGGATGACTCACATGACTGGAGTGCCGCCATGGATGGCTACAAGTTCTTCAGAAGGGACAGGCAAGGTAGGAGATGTGGAGGGGTGGCTCTGTATGTTAGAGAGTCTCTTGACTCTTTAGAACTTGAAGTCAGTAACAATAAGGTTGAGTGCCTGTGGATCAAAATCAGGGGGAAGGCCAACAAGGCTGACATCCTAATGGGACTCTGTTACAGACCACCTAACCAGGATGATGAGGATGATGAATTTTTCTACAAGCAGCTGGCAGATGTCTCAAAATTGCCAGCCCTTGTTCTTGTGGGTGACTTTAACCTGCCGGATGTCTGCTGGGAACTCCACATGGCAGAGAAGAGGCAGTCTAGGAGATTCCTAGAGTGTGTAGAAGACAATTACCTGCTCCAGCTGGTAAATGATCCTACCAGGGATGGGGGCCTGCTAGACCTGCTGTTCACAAACAGAGAGGGGCTGGTGGGAGATGTGGTGGTCGGAGGCTGTCTGGGGCACAGTGACCATGAAATAATAGAATTCTCAATACTCAGGGATGCAAGAAGGGCCATCAATAAAACCTCTACGCTGGACTTCCGGAGGGCAGATTTCAGCCTGTTCAAGAGACTGGTTCAGAGGGTACCGTGGGAAACAGCTCTTGAAAACAAAGGAGTCCAGGAGATATGGACATGCTTCAAGAAGGAAGTCTTAAATACACAAGAGCAGGCTGTCCCAGTCCACCGAAAGTCCCAGTTCCCCAGCTGGCAGGGAAGACAGCCAGCCTGGCTGAACAGGGGGATCTTGAGGGAAATTCGGATGAAAAAGAGAGCCTACCGATTATGGAAAAAAGGACTGGCTACTCAGGAAGAGTTCAGGAATTTAGTTAGGTCATGTAGAAAGAAAATCAGAGAGACAAAGGCAAGATTTGAACTCAATCTTGCCACTTCTGTTAAGGAAAATAAAAAGTCTTTCTATAGATACATCAGTAGCAAAAAGAGGGACAAGGAAAACCTCCATTCTTTAGTGGACATGGAGGGGAACATAGTTATTAGAGATGAGGAAAAGGCTGAGGTATTTAACACCTTCTTTACCCCAGTCTTCAATGGTAGGACAGGTCTCTCTGAGGACAGCTGGCTTCTGGAGCATGTAGATAGGAATATGAAGCTGAACAGTCCCCCCGTAATCAAGGAGGAAACAATCAGCGACCTGCTGAGCCACTTGGATCCTCACAAGTCTATGGGACCAGATGGGATCCACCCAAGGGTGATGAGGGAGCTGGCGGAAGAGCTCACCAAGCCGTTCTCCATCATTTACCAACAGTCCTGGCTCACTGGGGAGGTCCCAGATGATTGGAAGTTGGCAAATGTCGCACCAATCCACAAAAAGGGCCAGAAGGAGGACCCAGGAAACTCCAGGCCTGTCAGTCTGACCTCAGTGCCTGGCAAGGTTATGGAGCAGATCATCCTGGGTGCAATCACACAGCACCTACAGGATGGACAAGGGATCAGACCCAGCCAGCACGGGTTTAGGAGGGGCAGGTCCTGTCTGTCCAATCTGATCTCCTTCTACAATCAGGTGACCCGCCTGGTGGATGAGGGGAAGGCTGTGGATGTGGTCTATCTGGACTTCAGCAAAGCCTTTGACACTGTCTCCCATAATATACTCCTGAAAAAACTGGCAGCCCATGGCTTGGACAGGGGCACTCTGTGCTGGGTTAGGAACTGGCTGGAGGGCCGGGCCCAGAGAGTGGTGGTGAACAGGGCTGCATCCAGCTGGCAGCCGGTCACCAGTGGTGTCCCCCAGGGATCAGTGTTGGGCCCAGTCCTGTTTAATATCTTTATCGATGATTTAGATGAGGGGATTGAGTCCATCATTAGCAAATTCTCAGACGGCACCAAGTTGGGAGGGAGTGTTGACCTGCTGGAAGGCAGGAGGGCTCTGCAGAGGGACCTGAATAGGCTGGAGAGTTGGGCTGGTTCCAATGGGATGAGGTTCAACAAGGCCAAGTGCCAGGTCCTGCACTTTGGCCACAACAACCCACTGCATCGCTACAGGCTGGGGACAGAGTGGCTGGAGAGCAGCCAGGCAGGAAGGGACCTGGGAGTGCTGATTGACAGGAGGCTGAACATGAGCCAGCAGTGTGCCCAGGTGGCCAAGAAGGCCAATGGCATCCTGGCCTGGATCAGGAACAGTGTGGCCAGCAGGACCAGGGAAGTGATTCAGCCCCTGTACTCAGCACTGGTGAGGCCTCACCTGGAGTGCTGTGCCCAGTTCTGGGCCCCTCAGTTCAGGAAAGATGTTGAGGTGCTGGAGCAGGTGCAGAGAAGAGCAACGAGGCTGGGGAAGGGACTGGAGCACAAGTCCTATGAGGAGAGGCTGAGGGAGCTGGGGTTGTTTAGCCTTGAGAAGAAAAGGCTCGGGGGAGACCTCATCACTCTCTACAACTACCTGAGAGGAGGTTGTAGGCAGGTGGGGGTTGGTCTCTTCTCCCAAGCAGTCAGCAGTAGGACAAGAGGGCATGACCTTAAGCTGCGCCAGGGGAGGTTTAGGTTAGATATTAGGAAGAAATTCTTTACAGAGAGGGTAATCAGCCATTGGAATGGGCTGCCCAGGGAAGTGGTGGATTCTCCGTCCCTGGAGGTTTTTAAGATGAGGCTGGATGTGGCACTTAGTGCCATAGTCTAGCAACTGTGGTGGTAGTGGATCAAGAGTTGGACTTGATGATCTCAGAGGTCCTTTCTAACCCGTCTGATTCTATGATTCTATGATTCCTCAGGGCTGAGGTTGCTCACCTGGAGTTGGGGGGTGGTGAGGTGGTTTGGGATCTCCGCTGTTCCCACCTGTGTCAGGGATGTTTCTCCATGTTCCCAGGGCTATGTCCCTCCTGTGGAGCACAGCAGAGCTGTGCCCCCAGGCCGTGTGCCACCGGGACACATCCCTGCTGCGTGGTCCCATCCCGTGGCCATGTCCCTGTCCCAGTTCGCAGACCTGAGGGACGCGGCCGCCCAGCAAAACGAGGCCCTACACGCGACCAATCAGGAGGCTGATGAGTACCGGCGCCAGCTGCAGGCCCTCACCTGCGACCTGGAGGCTCTGAGGGGCTCGGTAGGTGATGGCCATGGGGTGCAAGAGGGGGGACACAGCCTTGGGGAACTGCCACCACCATGGGGTTCCCTGGAGCCCCAGTGGGACACCATGCAGTGCTGGAGAATGGCAGCTCCCCTGCGGTGGGAGATGGGCACTGGGATGAGCCCCCAGCTCCTGAGAGAAGGTGGCCATGGAGAGTGTCACGACCCCTTGTGGCCCCCCAGAAGGAGTCCCTGGAGAGGCAGCTGCAAGAGCTGGAGAAGCGCTACACCCTGGAGACGGCCGACTATCAAGACACAGTGGCATGGCTGGAGGAGGACATCCAGAGCCTCGAGGAGGAGATGGCCCGGCATCTGCAGGACTACCAGGACCTGCTCAACGTCAGGCTGGCCCTGGACATGGAGATCACCACATACCGCAAGTTGCTGGAGATCGAGGAGAGCAGGTGATGGCACAGCAGGGGCTCCACATCCTCGTGGTCCCTCTGGGGTGTCCGGCTGGGTTGGAGACCATCCTCCAGACCCCACTGCCCCAGCCCCAGGCAGGTGGAGCTGGGGGGGCAGCAGGATCCCACACTCTTCCCAATGGCCTGGTTGCTCCTGCAGGATCACCATCCCTGTGCAGAGCTTCTCCAACCTGCAGGTCCGAGGTGAGGCTGGGGGGGCAGGGGAGCAGGATGGTGGCACAAGCAGGGGTGGCTTCTGGGGGCTCTTCGCATCTCAGACAGCGTTGTGCTCTTCATCGATGCAACTGAGGAGGTGAGTGCCAGCTTCTCCTAGAGGTGAACCTCAGCATCGCTTCTCTGGAGTCTCTGCTCCTGCCTTAGCATGAAGGCCTGGGATGGGTTCAGCTTGTCAGGGTGAAGGTTTTTTGGAGGATGGGTTGGGAAGTGAGTTTTCCATACAAACAGGCAGTGACGCCTCTGGCTCCTGTGTCCAGGCTGATGTGATTCATGTGGCCTGTAAGCTGATTGTTCAACTTACGTGCATCTCCATCCCCATGATACCTAAAACTGAGCAGGTTATTTATACCAGAGATGTCCACAGGCTTGGATTCAAGGAATTCAGTTGGGTCAGCACCTATCTCAGCTTCAGGAGGATTAGCTGATCGCTGGTAGCTGAGCCTGGGCTTTTCTGCAGCCTGGCAGCAGTCACTGGCTGCCCCTCACGCCCCAGATAGCATTTCATGGAGGCTTTCCTGGGGCTCTGAGCTGGTTGTTCCCTGCAGGTGATGCTGAACACGGAGCAGCTGATCAAGGACGTGGTGCAGGAGAGGTTGGCAGTGACCATGTGCATCAACAAGATCGACCAGCTCATTCTGGAGCTCAAACTGCCCCCAACAGATGCTTATTACAAACTCAGACACATTGTAGATGGAGTTAGTGGTCTCATCAGGTGAGGGGGTTTATGTCCCTGTCCCACTGCAGGTGCTTCTCCCTGTGCATGCCTGAAAACCCATTAGTTTGTCTCTTGATACGTTGAATCAGAGAAAAATGGGACAGGAAGAACCGCTGGAAATTTATTTCAGCCAATATCTTGAATTAGGGAGAATTGGCTCTTCCTGACAAGCTTCGTGGGATTTCATTCCCCCCCCATTTTATTTGTCCTCCATTAAAAAGTAGGGACAGAGCAGTGAGCTTCTGTGTTCCCAGATATCTCAAATACACTGAAATTATCCAGATTGTATCCCGAACTGGAGGTTGAGATGTCTCAAAGCTCCTGAATATTTGCTAAAAAACCAGGAGGGACTTACTCTTCCAACCCCTAAACAAAGATATGATACTGATATGGACAGATCAACTTGCCAGCCCTGCTCAGGGAAGGGAGGGACATCTTGGTAGCCATGCATCATTTCTGTGTATTCTGCATCCAGGGAATTTTTTAAACAACTTTCTGCCCTTCAAGTGTGTGTGGATTTGCACACAGGCTCCCTGCCATGTCTCTGTTCAGTGTCTTTTCATTAACTTTTTCTCCTTGACAGATTGGCTATTTTGTGCCCTCCTCAACTAGCCCCCAGTTGTGTATAAACCCTCACTCATTGAGGGGAGGTGGGTGACTATTTTGGGGAGAAGGTATTTGTTTCTTTGCTTTATTTTTTCTTTCAGCAGCATAATCAGCACCCCAATAAAGGAGTAGCTATATGCTTAAAACCTAAATTCTCTCTCATGCAAAGTTTCAGATTTCTTCAACTTGCTTTTATCTTTGAACACCAAACATTTGCAATCCATATAAAAGCAAACCAACCAACTGGTCATCCATGCTGGGACTGAGCCGTCAGCTGGAACACAGTTACACACCACCTCAGGGTGGGCCCTTAAGTGAAATGTGTGATACGTGTAATAGCTCAAGCATAGAGTGACTTCTGGAAAGAATTATTACATTTTTTCAAATTCACATTCTATGCTTACTATGATTTACTGTTAAACTTTTGCAAGAGAGAAGGTATTTCAAAACCATGATATTAAATTTATCTTTCTCGTTTTGATATTGCAGACATTCTCAGCTAGAGAGCCGAGGATTGTTTTTGTAATCTGATGTCCTCAGTCAGACAATTCTGGTTTTAAGTCAATCATTTTACATTTTTAAGTAGTATTCAGAAGCTGCATTAACATGAACTAATTTGGTCACATTTTCCAAACACTTTCCAAAATTTTAGGTAAGAAAACTGAAGGACAGCCCAAACATAGTAACTGTGTAGACATCAGCTTCTACTGAGATGCCCAGAAGTATACACTCATAATAATGGCACAGTAGAACTGAAACATGAAGAAATATCCCAAAATTAAGCCTTTTTTCTCATACAAAGAGCCACCAAATTCCTCTAAAACTGCTTATTACAGGATGTGTAAAAGGGGGATAAGAGTGATTTTTAAGGAAGCAAGGAGGGATAGTACTCTACACAACAAACACACAACACTGTGATGGCAAACGGTAGGCACAAATACACCTAGCAAGCATTTTCAGACGTAGCTACTCACCTTTCACAGCACTTGCTTCTTTCAGGTTGTGGAACAGAAAGTCTGTGCTGGCATAGGCGCTCATCTCTACTCCATTGATGCCCCCATTCAGGAGGTGCCTGGTTTTCAACCTGGATTTGTCACAGTTTGCCAGGGACCCATCCACTATGTCAATGGCGATGTAGTTGAGGCCATTCTGGAAGCCAGCTGAGGTCTCGCGGCACATGGGACCGCTACCCTGCTCCTCCTCCAGGCCTTCGCTTTTCCTCAGGGACACATTCTCCACTGAGGCTGAGTTGTGTCGTTTGGGGTTGTGTGCGAAGGAAGGGGACACTGGGGTCACAGTGGTGGTGGAGAAGAAAGTTTCTGAGCTGTGCCTCCTCCGCCCCTGAGGATCTGCCTGGATGACTTTGGCCCCCTGGTTTGGGTCTGGGGGAGGGCTTGAGAGAATGAAAGCCTCCACCCCAGAGAGGGTGAGCCTCTTCACCCCAGCTGTGGGGCTAGTAACCCGGGCACTTTCTGGCTTCTGAACGATGGGTTGGGGTGGGGTGGTGGCCATGCCATAGGTCATTTCACATACAGAGTGGAAAGATTTATATAGTCACCGCCCACGGAGTCCAGGGATGGAACTCGGTAGTTGCAGCTTCCATGTCTGTCAGTTGAAGTGGTGGCCTTGATCCACTGGGGGTGAAGGAGGGAAGCCCCCACACTCAAAGAAGTTATGAGTTATTATATCCGTGGTTAGTGTCACGGGCCATGTCACGAGCCTCCAGCATCTCCCTGGGCCTGCGCAAAGTTCCTGTGTGGGGCCCGGTAAAAGGGGTTTTTCTTGCCTTTCAAGATTGGCAGAGGGGGGGATGGGCTTTGATGGGCCATCAGAGGTATAAAGCAAAAGTCCTGCAGAAGCCCACAAAAGTCCCTTGGCAATCCTAGAATGCATAAATCATTAACCGTTTCAGTCTCTGACACATGTGAAATTGCATTTTGTTATGAATCTGTTTGGGTTTTTTTCAGAAATCAAAGAAGAAACTAATGACTGATGCTAGTCTCTGAGGGGAAAAAAAAAAACAAAGGAAAAGGAAACTGCCATTTTAAACTCTGTAAAATAAGAATAGTCAAAAAGAGAGTCAAGAATAATAATACTTGCAACAGAAGCACTTTTTTATTTCTTTTTTTTTGGTTGCATTTTTTTTTTCCTTGTTGCCATAATTATTTTCCTGCTGAGGAAAGAAGTGGGGAAATTTCAGTCAATAAAAGCTTCTGGTCTGTGGTGGGGTTTTTTGTTTGTTTTTTTTGTAAGTCTCCCGACTTTAATCCTGAATTCTAATCCTGAGGAGCCCACAGACAGGATAGAGAGATTATACAGGCACCAGAGTCCCATGGGTGGAAATTCCAGATCATGCAAGAGTCAGAAGGTGTGGCTGCTGTCCTGGAATACATGGCAAGAGAGCACAGGAAGATGTATGCAAAACAGGGGGAGGAACTCCACCAACTACCTCATTTTAGGGAATCCAGACAGAGAAAGAAGTGTCTTTGGAAGTCCAGCATTAGTTTGGTGTTTTCTAGCTTTGAATTTAGAAAAGTATTTCCACTGTAAAACTGTAACAATAAACAGCTACAGAACTGTGACTGTAAATGCTGGCAATGTAAGCAGATCCCTCTCAGTTATTAATTGGTTTAGCATCCCATTTGAATTGATCCATTTGATCTTGGTTTGATCTCCTGGTTTACCTGGGACTATCAGCCTGGGAAACAAAATATGTCTCTGAAATCAGTCAGGAGCAAGAGCAGAGGACTCCAGTGGTGAGACTGTTTGGTACATAAACAGAGCTGCAGTCCCAGGGAACCATGGTTCCCAAAGGAGCTGTAACTGCCTGGATCTGTGGGATGTATGAGTGGCTAAAAGGTGACTCTCTCCATGTCCTTGTATGAGAAACAAAAATACAGTTTTTATATAAATAGACGTATCATGAAGTTGTAAGATATCCAAGTTACAAGAGCTGAACTTGGGTATCAGGGTCTCTTTCGGTGGGATAAGGGAAATAAGAAAATTCTTAAAAAATTCAATCTTTTAGGGCCATTTTGTACACGAGGTTGCTTTTCTCTTTGGGCTAAGAACAAAGGAAGATCCATCACCTTTTGACAGGGGATGGCTTGCAGACAACTGGGAAAAAGGGAAAGCCCCAGGACAGGCTCGTGGCACCCATCCCCCCCCGGATGGGTGTTCTCCAGGGTAGGTGTGGGGGATGTGTGACCCTGTCCCCAAGGCATGTGGCACATGTCACCCTGTATGGGGTGGCTCTGTAGGGCCACCCAACCCACAGCACCACAGAGCACCAGGGGCCACACTGCCCCCTCACCACAGTGCCTTCCCTGACCGGGGCAAGGTTGGGAGCAAACGGGGCTGCTTCCCCACCCCAGGCACCATGAGCTGCAGGGGCGTGTTTGTACCCCATAAAGGCTTTATGTGTCCTTGAAGGAAGCATCTTGTAT